CACCCCTTCCCCGGCCCACCTCCCTGGCAGAAGCTTGAGTGGACTCAGAATCTCTTTGGGGTGACCGTGGCAGTTTCCCTCGCATTTTGTTTTTTGGAAAAACTGGATGGCTTTGGGCTGACCGGGGGCTCTTTGGCATGCAAAACAGTGGCACCTCCCCTTTTTCTCCCTCTGCCCTCGGCACCCCAAATCCACATGACCGCCCTCGCTTGGGAGCCCCCCTCCCCAAAAGCATCGAAGGACCCCACTTTGGTGATCAGGATGAGAGATCCTTCTGTGTTTCCTTGTTCTTTGGGCCGGGAGAAGGAAGCTGCTGGCCCCGTTTCGGTGGAAGGACTGGGCGGCAGGCAAAGTGGGCCCGTTCGGTCCCCAGGGCCTGCTGCACGGGGACGTGGGCTCCCCGCCAACGCCCCCCCTTTGTTTCCCGCCCTCCTTTCTCTTCTCCGCAGATGGAAACGGAGGATGAGCGGCGACGTTTTGAAGAAGGGAAGGGTCGTTACCTTCAGACGAAAGCCAAGCGCCAGGCACAGATCCAGCCGCTGACGCAGCAGTGACATTCGGCTACTTCTGGGCGAGCGACACCGTCAGTCCCTTGTTGACAAACCATTCCATAGGCCCGGCTGGAGGGAGGGGGCCTGCGACAAACTCCCGAGGCCCATCGCCCTCTCCTCTCTGGCGAAGATTCGTCCCATGTTCTCTGTCATCATCGTAGCTAGCCCAGTGGGCACTTTAGGAAGCGTAGGGCACGCTGGGGGGGGGGACATATCTGAGCCTGGGGCAAAACAGCAGAGGTGGGCCAGGTGGACCAGCCAGACAGGCTGTTTTTACAACTGCCTTGTTGGCAAGGGTAGAAACATCCAGCTTGAGAAAGAACCATCTCAACCGTCCCAAAACACACGCTTTAATTTCACGCCTTCCCGTGAAGGCCAGCACCTCTCTTCACGGCCCTGTCAGGCTCAGACATTGCTCGATGTCCCCTCTTGCTCCTTTCCCTCCATCTTCAGTGTGTGTATCCATGCAGATGTATATGTGTGCCTAATTTATTCAATGACAATTGCAAATAAAGGTTTGGTGCCTTTAATGGAAGAGTGTGGGTTTGAAACAGTTCTCTGGCTCTTGGGTCCTCTCAGCAACACCACAAAGAGCAGGGTGGAGGAAGGGAGTTTAATCAAAAGACCTGGTGACCTAGAATTTGTCCAAACATCCAGATGGATTCCATGCTAGGATACTGAAGCTGACGACTGGGTCAAGCTATCACGTACCCTAAGGAACTGGTGAAATGCCCAGTGATAGGAGCATTCCCATCTTCAAAAGCAAGCTTCAGGGAACTACAGACTATTGACTCTTTGTCACTACCAAAGCTGTGATTATTAGAAGTTGTCACGGATTTGTCAAAAACAAATCCAGCTAACTTTATTTCCCTCCCTTTTTTTTGGACAGGGTAACTGCGGTAATGGATTGTGGGAATGTAGCAATCATAATATATCTTGATTTCGGAAAAGCATTTGCCCAAGTCCCCCACGACGTCCTGATTAGCAAGCTAGAAAAGGGTAGCCTGGAGGGCAAATATATTATATTATATGGATCTACAACTAGCGTGAAAGCTACCCTCAAAAATTGGCAAGCTGTCAAGTAGGTGCCAGTGAGTCCGATCGTGGGCTTTTTCAAAATTTTAATAAGAGGAGGGCACGTGTGCCAAGTTTGCATGCAAAATTGGGCGAGACAGTTAATTCTCTCAAAGGCAGAAGCTAATTTCAAAGCCGTCTTGATAAGGAAGAGACGGGCTGAAAGTCCCAGCGTGGAATTTTATAGAGGAAATGATTGGTTAAAAAGATCCCTAGCTTATCAATCATAGACTTTGGAAGGCTTTTGGAATTACGGTTAGTCCCAAGCTGAACGTGAGTCAACGGAGAGACTTTGCTGCTCAAATGGCAAATGCCATTTTAGGCTGCCTCAAGATCGTTTCAAAATCCCTGGACCTGTTTTACCCTCATCCCTCAACATAACAGACTTACTGGACTGGGCAGATAATAAAACCAGCAGATGGTATCCCAGGACCAGGACCATTTTTTTCTGGCATTGGGAGGGGGTCCCACCCCCTGTCCCATTTTTCTAGCTTCCAACCTCTTTTCCTGGTGTATTCGGAGACCCTAAAGCAGGGTTTCTCAAACTTGGCCCCTTTAAGATGGGTGAACTTCAACTCCCAGAATTCCCCAGCCAGCATGTGTGGACTTCAACTCCCAGAATGCTGGTTGGGGAATTCTGGGAGTCCACCGATTTGAAAGTGGCCAAGTTTCAAGTCCACCGATTTGAAAGTGGCCAAGTTTGAGAAACCCTGCCCTAAAGTTTGCAACCACTGGGTTGCCCTTTAGAGCGAACTGGAGAAGGCATCTTGAAAGCTTACGGAAGTTGGATTGTGATGACCTTCTCTCCACACCTTTTAGCAACGGGGGCGAGATTCGACTCGGCTTAGAAGACACACTGTTAGCTCAGCTGAGCAAAGCCAATTCAAATATCACACCGGAAGATCCCTTGTGTAAATCTTCACCTCCCCCCCTTCTGCAAAGATCGGCCCTGTCTCAAGAGACAGAAGATCATAAGCGCGGGTGGGCACAGACCCCTCCCCATTTAAAGCTCTCGGCTCGGGCAAGCAGATTCCACCCCTTTTCTTGAAACCCGTGGAAGCCCAGCGAAATCTGTCGGAAAGGTCTGGGTGTGAGAACAGGTGTACAGCTTTGCTACCTACGGGAACTGATGCTGCACGGCTGGCCATTCAGATATGCCGGCCTGGCACACAAGTTTGGTTGCGGCTGTTTCTGTCCAACACAGTTCTTTTCTGATGCTTAATTTTCCTGAGATTCGCTCCAATGAACAGAATCTTTTTGCTTGGCATGGCTTTGCTTTCTCTGAATGGCCCGCGGAAAAACGGGGGATTTCCTTCTGGCGTGGCTGAGAAAGGGAACAGCGTTTTATTTAGGGGACAGCACCACGGTGATGCTTCCACACGAACAACTCCTGAAACAGAATTGCATGGTTTTTAGCCCAAGGTGAAAGCGGGGTTAACCAGTTTGGTGGAGTCAGGTTGTCTGAATGCAGCCCAGGCACGTTTCCCACGCTTTCAAACCAGCCTGGCCTGCTCTGAGGGTCCTTTGCATTACAATCTCCATTCTCATTAACCAGGGGGTTGCCACTGCCACCAAGATTATTTGGCAGTGGATCATGGGAGCTGTAGTCCAGCCCCTTTGCAGAGTGCCTAGTGGGGGCAGATCCATTCAATCACGTGAAGCAGTTAGTAAACAGCCCGGTTCACACAGTGCACTGAGCTACGGTTTGTCGCATAAGCCACAATAGCTGGGTCCACTTGTGAGCGCCATGTGTTTTCCACATCATGATGCAAAGTTCGAGCTACATTTTAAGCTACAATCTAGTTCCTTTGGTTTGGGCTCAGCCCGTTGTGCGAACTCCTCCACGGAAGCAGAACAAGGATATCCTCGTTCTAGTCCATATTGTCCCCACATATCCATGCAATATTCTTGGCAACAATATAAAAGTAATCTACTGCTTTTCTGTAGGATTTTGTTAACCTTGACAGTGTAGGCCACCATCATAAGATTCCTTGGTGGTCTCCCATCCAAGGACCTAAAAAGCAGGGGAATGTTTTCTGTGGGGAAGAAAAAAAGTGGGGAGGAAATTCATCTTACTATCAGCCTGCGGACAGAGTCCTAGGTGGTCTGCAAACCTTTATCTGATCTTTGCTAGTTAAGTTTCCTCTGGGGAGGCCCTCTTCACATGCTCAAAAGCACCTTATTGTCATCCTCTCTGCCTGCAAGTCATTTCTGGTGCTAAACCCAGCTGGAATCAAGAGTCAGTCTTAAACCAAAGTCATGATTTGTTCTGGAAAGATTTTTCTTTTTCTTATTAAAGGGGAAAACTTTCTCATCTCCGCTGCTCTGAACTAGAGCTGGCGTGAAGAAGTCCATAATTAATTGGAGTATAAATAGCCCCCACTTAAGTGGGCAGCCATCAGGGGTTCTCTGCTAATGGGAAGGAGCGACATTTCTAAAAGAAATCATGAGATCTCACACCCTTCCTTCCTCTTCTCTTCCTCCTGATCTCCTGGACCATGAGTCATTTCAGGTTGCGCGGCACGCTGTGAGGGGGTGCCACTGCGCACCATCCTAAAGATTCAGGAAGTTTTGTTTCTGAGGAACACCCCCTGATACCCCCCACCCCAACAAAGAACAGCTACATTAACTTCCTCTTCCTCTTCTTCTCCTTCTTCTTGTGGAAAACCCAGAGAGCGCTTCACCCAAAGTCCAGGAGAACGTCAACTTTCTCCATGCAGCTTCACCAAGACACACCTAGTCAATGAGCAGGTAGCTTTTCACGGACGGAAAAGCAAGTCCAGCTATGGAGCCACCAATTAAAAAAAAAAAGGAAACCTTTCTTTCGACCTTCAGCTTCGAACGGACAAGCAGCTTTTGATCTTCAATTGTTCGGCCTCTCCCCGCGGTACCCAAATCCGCATTTCCATCTGCAACTTTTCAAACTTCTCAAGGTCTTTCCGCGCCTTCTGGCGGGCTCCGCTTCTTCTTGACGGATTCTAGAGCAACGATTCGCCTGTTTCCCGTTCAAAACGCCCACTTCATCCTAGGGCACGTCACTTTTTAGCGCACGTTTTGATTTCTTCACGTGGCTTACTTTCCGCAGACGCGTGACCTTTCTCCTGACAGGGCGGATCCACATGTGTGGGTCATCCCAGATGTGGATGAATTAGCTCTGAATGTCTTGGAAGCCCCAGTCCCTGTTCTGAAAGTGTGTGTCTCTACAGTTATTCCTTTCTGGAAGGCCCCAGGCCTGTTAAAAAAGAAATGTAGGCGAACTTCGTGGAAGAGAAAGATTTATTGCTGGCCATAGACATCTGTCCAGCTCTTCATGTGGCCACAGACATCTGGAAACAAGTCGCAACGGATCAGCCCACCTACCATCCGGGCAAGAAACGTGCCAGATTCATCTCCCAAAAGCAAAGGAAAACCACGGCTTTTAAACTTTGAAACAGCTTTGAATTCCAGACCGTTCCCCACCTTTCACCAAACAGAGACAAGATGCTTTTGCGTGCTCAGAAACACCAAAAACAAATCAACTCATTTTGCCTCGGTGGTTTTCCACCCGGTCTGTTGCTTGTACACCAGGTTTGAGAGCGGGGATCTGCCGCTTTCTTGCAGGTGCCAAAAACATCTGGCGTTGGATTACGGCAGAGGCAGCCGACGACTTAGGAGCACGTACATTTTTGGAGCATCTGGTCTCCAGTAAAGTCTCTAGCAGGGATGAACGGAGGAAAGGAGATATTTTCCCCGCCAGCAAATACTCAATTCTCCTTCTGGGACTTGTGTTTGTTGCATGATCTGTGATTGACGGAGAAGGCCAGGAGAGCCCCACGGGGATCAGGTATGGCTTTGCCCGGATCCCAAGCCGATCCTGTTTTTGTCTTAAACCTTTACCAGATCCGAGGCTGGAGCTACAGAGTGTTTAGCCCGGAGAAGCAGGGCTGGGAGGGTGGAAAGGACCACGCCGGTGTCTCGGATGAAGCCAAACTCTGCTAAGCCTGTCATCTTTGATTTGCATTTGGGTCTGCAGGGGCAGCACGCTCGCCGTGCCTCGGCCCTGGTTTGTTCTCCCCACTTCCACTTCTTTCCATTCCTGTCCCCAAATCCCAGCTATCCATTGGGCGTTTTGCAAAAGAGAGAAGGCCGTTCTCTTCTAATGCTCAGAGATGCTCCTCTTGCTGCCTCACGTCCCAGCTGCTAAGCTGGTCCTACTGCACAGGCTGGCAGAATCAGGTTATTGGGTCAGCCCAGCCTGGGCCAAGACGCAGACAGAGGGCTTTGCTGAAGGCCCTGCTCGGAGCTAACGTTTCTGGGGGGGCAACACACGTGGGAAGGCCGCCACGGGACTGAGCTGGGTGGGCACAAATGCAGGGACGAGGAACCTGGGGACCTCCAGGGGAGATGGGGCGTTCCCAGCCCATCCTCAGCTGTGAACTGCCCCACCCGCCCCTCCCTTCCCCC